TTAAGAAGAATTGGTGTCAATTCTCCTTTAAATGTTTGGTAGAACTCTCCAATGACACCATGCAGTTCTGAGCTTTTCTTTGCTAGATTTTCAATTACTGATTGAATTTCCTTACTGCTTCTGGGTCTGCTCACATTTTCTATTTCTTCATTATTTGGTCTTGGTATGTTTCCAGAAATCTATCAGTTACAGGTTAGCTAATATGATGGCATATAATTGTTCGTAATAGCCACTTTGATCCTTTGTATTTCTGTGGCATCAGTTGCAATGTCTCCTTTTTCATTTCTGACTTTAGTTAAGTCAGTCTACTCTCTTTTTCCTCAGCCTAGCTAAGGGTTTGTCAACTTAATTTATCTTACAATCTTTTCAAAATATCAACTATTAGTTTCTTAAATTTTTTCTATTATTTTCCTATGTTGTTTATTTCTGCTCTATATTATTTCTAAGACCCTATTTTTTGGGGGGAAAGCTTTACAAGATTTACCTAAAAGCACAGGTTCCTAAGCCAGTTTTTTCCAATTTATTTTCCTGCATTCCACAGTTTAAAAAAAAAAAAAAAAAAAAAAAAAAGCATTTCACAGTAAACAGACTCATACACGTATGTGACTTAAAAAGAAGTCTAGGCCGGATGGAGTGGCTCACACCTGTAATCACACTTCGGGAGGCCAAGGCAGGTGGATCACCTGAGGTCAGGAATTCGAGACCAGCTTGGCTAACATGGTGAAACCTCTGTCTCTACTAAAAATATAAAAATTAGCTGGGCATGGTGGTAGGCACCTGTAATCCCAGTTACTTGGAAGGCTGAGACAGGAGAATCGCTTGAACCCAGGAGGTGGAGGCTGCAATGAGCCGAGATCATGCCACTGCACTCCAGCCTGTGAAATAGAGTGAGACTCTGTCTCAAAAAAAAGAAGTCCATAAAATACTCACCCTTAATATATGCACTGCTCTTACTTTTAACCTATAATTCTTCATTTTTAAAATTTAAGGCTTTTAAAATTCTTATAATTTAAAATCAATTTATTCACTAAGTTGATTTCACTTGAATAAAAGTTTAAAAATACTATTCTAAACAGTATATTCAATATCAGAAATGTATACAACAGGCATAGAAAACATTATCTGTTTCAAATAATTTGTAATTCTTGTTGTGGAGCAAGGTAAAAGAGAAAACATGAGTAAAAATTGGAAGATTATTCTTTGGCAGAATAAAATTAGAATAAGAAAATAATAAAATTCAAAATATACCCAGTCCTTTTCACACTTTCAAGGTCTTCCCACTTCCAGTGTCAATCACAAGCACAGTACAATTGGCCTTCCATATCCGTGAGTTCCATATCTATGGATTCAACCAACCCACAGACGGAAAATATTCAGTTAAAAAAATTGTGTCTGTACTGAACATATACAGATTTTTCCTTGTTATTATTCCCTAAACAATACAGTCTAACAAATATTTACCTAGCATTTATATTGTATTAGGTATTGTAAGTAATCTAGAGATGATATAAAGTATAAAGGAGGATGTACATAGGTTATATGCAAATACTGCCATTTTATATCAGAGACTTAAACATTCTCAAATTGTGGTATCCAAGGAAGGTCTTGGAACCAATTCCGCAGGGACACTGAGGGTCAACTGCATTTGCAAATAAGAAACCAAGAAATGTCCTTCTCCTGCATAGAAGCTTCACTTTAAAACAGATTCAACACATACAACAGCCCAGAGGCACTGTGTGTAATATAATAACATAAAAAATTATACTTGGAGAGCTGAGAAATGGCTTCATATTTTAAAAACTATAAAATCTGCTAATGAACCACAACTGATCCTGCTGTAGTTTTCTTAATGTATCCTTCCGTAAATGCACTTGCACTAGTTATTATAATACAATGATATATTTCACACTTGAAAACACAAAATAATCCCTATATCTGCTTGGAGAGTCATTCTTACTTCTATTCAAACCAGGTTACACAAAACATACATTACAATTTAACAAAATAAGATAATAATTTCTAAAATTAAAGTCTACAGTGAAAGAAAGTACTCTACAGATCTTCTTTCTAACATATCTGGACTAAAGAAAAATAAGCTTTTAACCCAGGGAGACACTCACTGAGAGACCTCACATAGATAGACCTTACTAAAAGGCATGTAAGAAACAGAATCACTAGCAGAGAGCAGAATGAGAAGTCAAACAGCTCTATTCAAACTGCCAACCTGTGCCATGTACATGGTGATGTCTTCTTCATTGTGAAAGTCTATCCTCATCCCATATGCAATGCACAGCTGTACTACAACCTCCAGATCGCTGTTTTTCTTTAGTAGAGTATCTGATTTTATTGCTTCTTTCTCTTCACCATCTGTCATTTATTGCTACTTTAGGCCTATCTATTTCTCTTAACCTAAAGGGCACTGCAAATTCCATGGTGTCCAAATTACATACAAAGTAACAATAAAAGGCTTCTAAGTAAGGATCTGAGGTGTTTCCTAATTGAGCAAAGTATATGAACTTTAACACATGAACTTTATATTTTGGCCACTTACCATATCTTATTTGCTCATCTGTCAAATAAGTTGACTTAACTCACTTGACTATTTTATGTTCAAAATAGTAACATCTCATTTGATTCTCCCAACAACCCTATGAAGTGGAAGGATTACTAGTCCAATTCTACAAATGAGAAAACTGAAGCAACGAAGGTGTTAAATTATGTGTCCACCAAGGCCAAAGGACTAGAATATGGCTGAAGACTATCTAGATCTTAATCTAGATACTCTGAGATCAATGTCTGTGCTCATAAATGCCTATATCAGTGTGGTTAGTATTCCCCACTTAAATAACTTTAACAATCTTATGGGGAAAAAATACAGAAATAACTATCTCAATTACTTGATGTCTAGGAGATAAGATGCCCTAATTGCCTTCTTTCAGTTCTCCAAAAGCTACTCTGAAAGACCTAACTGAGGCAAAGAAATGAAAAGGCTAACGAACACCAATGGGTCAACAAAGCTGATGGGAAGTTTTCTAGCCTTATCTAGCATTACACTGAGCCTATCCTATAGTGGATCCAAACAAGACTCTCCCCATTGCCATTTGAAGACTTACTTGCCAAGGATGACTCAGGGCTGTTCCTTTTGAGATGTAGTTCTAAATGATCTCTGAATGCCTACAGAATAATTGTACATTTTAGCTTTCAATAAATATTACTTGAGTAAATGTGGGGTGGGTATTCCATGCTCTCTGCTGCCATACCAAACTGTAAGCTTTTCTGACTCCCCATCATACCTACAGCTCCCTGAAAGCAAGAAATAACTTATTATTTTTAGAGTCTCAATACCCAGCACCATTCCTGGCACATATGGCATTCAATAAACGTTTGGTAAATAAGTGAGCCCAAAAGCAAATCTGCCTGGCACAAAGCAGTATCAATTCAGATGTTTCTTAATTAGAGGTTGTGATTATGTGTGTGTGTGTGTGTGTGTGTGTGTGTGTGTGTATAAAAGGTATGTGTATTCTTGAACGAAGTTAAGAATTTCTTTGGCCAGGTAGAGTGGATCCTGCCTGTAACCCAAGGACTTGTGGAAGGATCACATAAGTCCAGGAGTTCGAGACCAGCCTGGGAACACAGCAAGACTCTATCTCTACAAAAAAACTTTTTTAAATTAGCTGGGTATGGTGGCACACGTCTATAGTCCTAGCTACTCAGGAGGCTGAGGTAGGGGGATCACTTGAACCCAGGAGTTTGAGGTTACAGTGAACTAAGACCAAGTCAATGCACTCTGTCCTGGGCAACAGAATAAGACTTTATTTCTTAAAAGAAAAAAAAAAAAGAAACAATTGTTATATTTTATCTTTGGACTCAACTCACTAGCTATTTTCCTACTAAAGCAAACCTTTCTCAATTTATATATATGATACATATATATTTATAAAAAGAGACCTTATGTGCAAACTAATGATAACAGCAAATTAAACTAGAGCCAGATGTAAGCGCCCCATCCAATAGCTACTTCATTCTTGTAAACCATAATTTCCTGCCACCATCAAAGAAATGATCCTCTGTATTTTTAAAGTACTAGCCATTTTTACAGATGGGAACCATGTAGACATAATCCAATTATAAGAAATGATTAAGAGACATAAGACTATGACTGTTTCTTAGATTATAAAAACCTTATACAGGCTGATATGCCCTAATATGAAAATCTGCAACCCAAAATGCTCCCAAATCCAAAACTTTCTGATCGTTGACATGACACTCAAAGGAAATGCACGTTGGAGCATTTCAGATTTCATATTTTCAGGTTAGGGATGCTCAAATGTTAAATATAATGCAAATATTCAAAAAAATTTTAAAATTCCAAATAAAAATCACTTCTGGTCCCAAATATTACAGATAAGGGCTACTCAACCTGCAGCATGTTGGGTTTAACAAACTGTACATGGCAATATAATTTAAATTTGTACCCTACAAAATGAATTAAGCACTGGGATAAGTGCTTGTATACAGCATCTCTCTTAACCTTTGCAACAACTCTTCAAGGTGTATATAACTGTTACCACCATTTTACAGATGAATATATGAATACTCAAGGTTGTACATCTAGCTAGTAAGTATAGAAACCAGAATATACACTCAGCTTTGACTAATACCTGAGTTATTAGCTACTCACAACTCTATCCCACAGTATACCCTCAACAAAGCAAAAATTTTCTAAATCATAACTGCATAACTCTAACATTGTAATAACACAACATACTTGCTTTTAACTATATCATTCTTAGAAGGAAAACTTATTGCCTTCATAAGCTCCACACTTACTTTCCCACCTTAGCCACTGAAATCTTGATTCATATGAGGGCTATTTATCACTAACATCCTTTTTCTGAAAATCATACTTTGCCCCTCCACTGCCATGAAAAACACCATTGGCACCCACAGCAATGTTCTGTATAAAATTTGCCAAGGCTATTAGTGGCAATGATCACTACCTTAGGTGACTCTGGAGTCTCAGAAGACTTGAACACTCTAATACAAGTTCTAAAGGTTTAGGTAAGATCCACCACACCAAATGCTGAGTAAAACCATCTAGAAAAAAAAAAAAAAAGAAAATTATATGATTAAATATAATTAAATGTCTCTCTACATGGAACAGCTATTTGAGGAGATCAATTGTATGCTATTTTTATTCCAAAAGAGCAAGGTTTGCAGATTTTATTTATTTATATACCAATAGGCTAAACATCAAAAATGAAGAAACCAAATTGTCCTGTTTTTCTCAACATTCGAAGACAATCAGGCAAGAGAAGTTCATTCACCATAACTTACATATTAAGATATTTTTTTCCTTTTCCCTTTTTCTGACTTACCTCCATGGCCTCAATGAATTTCGGGCCATACATACATAAATGGTAATTATTAAAGTAAACCAAGGGTCCTTTCTTCTACTCTCCCTCTGAAGAAAGGAAGGAAACTCGGAGGTTCTATAGAAACATACCAAGATTTCTACTGGATACATTCCAAGTCTTCCCTCTTTCTCACTCTGTATTCAATCAACGAAGAAGTTCACTGATCTTTATACCTGAGTATCTCTTTAATTTGCCTGGTTGTCCCTATCTCTAATGTCACTACTCCAGGTTAAACCAACACATTCAAATGCCTGGATTACTAAGGTAACCTATCTAACTAGTCTCGGTGACTGCTTTGTTTCTTTCCATTCATTCTTCACCTTCCATCCAAAATGACTCTTTCAAAACCATGAACTACTCAGATGTCACCCTCACTAAAGTCTTTCAATGACTTTTTATCATTTTCATGATAAAATCATAGCTTAACATGGCTTAGAAGACTCTAACCTGGCTCCAATCAATTTCTCCAGTCTTACCTTTAGTCACTTCTGTCTTCATATGCTTTATAGTCACATGGCTCTTCTTTCAGATTTTCAAACTCTTCACATTGGTTTTGTGGGGTTTTTATTTGTTCTGCATCGCAGCTACTGCACAATCTCTTCCCTCCACCTACTCTACTTCCCCACAGCCTCCTAATTTAACCTAATTCCTATGTAACCTATTTAGGTCTGTATCACAGCTCTTTCTCTGAGAAGCCTTACCTAATCATTCCAGATAAGACTGGGTGCCTCCTTCCATATACCTCTCCTACTACAGCTCTTATCACTACTTTAGTATAATTACTTCTTTAATTATCCAGACTTCCTCATTAAACTATATTTTCACTAGAGAAGGGATTATTAGGGGTACTTGCCCACCCCTACATACCCCAACACTGAGCACAGTGCCTAGACACATAGCACAGGCTTGACTTTTTTTTAATTGAATAAGTGCACAAACAAAAATGAAAATCTGGAGGAAAAAACTGAAAGGAACAGATTTAAAAGATATTTTAACCGTCAAAAATTCCATATCAATACACATCCTCAATAAATAAATGGGACTTCTAGATTCTGCTTAGGATGTAGAAAGCTAGAAAGAATGTCATTTCACCCTTCAAACAAAGTAAAAGATGAATATTGTGCAAAATCACAAATTTTCTTGAACCCAGCACAAAAGTAGAGCAACCTTAAATCTAAGTAACTAATCTAAAATCTAAGGAAAGACAAGATTTTAAAGGGAGAGATGGGACATGAGTACTTTACCTGTAGTCAATATCAGGCAACATACAAGCCAATAAAAATTTGGTTAAAACTTTTTAAAAAAATTACTACAAGGCAAATGTGAACCCACAGCTAGGAGAAGTAAACAAAACAAACAAACAAAAAAAGCCCTCTACCCCCCTTAAAGAAGGGGCAAGATCTCTGAAAAAGCCCCATACCTGAGACCCAGAAAAAAAAACGAAAACACCTAGCTAAAACTGAGACTGGAAAAATCCAACATAAAATGTCCTCCCTGCCTCCAACCAAAAGGAGACTAGCAAGCCTCAAACAACATGTAACAGCAATGTACTACAGTCATGGGTCACATAATGACAGGGATACAGTCTGAGAAATGCATCATTAGATGATTTTACTGCGAGAACATCACAGAGTATACTTACACAAAGACAGGATAGCCTGGCTATAAACCTGTACAGCATGTTACTGTACTGAATACTGTAGGCAACTGCAACACAATCGTAAGTATTTTATCTAAACATAGAAAGGTCCAGTTAAGATAATGGTATTATAATCTTAGGGGACCATCACCGTATATGCAGTCTGCTGCTGACCAAAACATTGTTATGTGATGCATGACTGTTCGTGAGCAAAGAGCTAAAGAATGGAGAAATACATTCTCTGAGATGCAAGTTCAAAGGGAAGACCTAAACATAAGGGTGGAGTAGACATTAAGAAAAAGTCTGGCATACTTAATCCAACCCTAAACACAAAGTAATGCTAGAGAATCTTGAAGGCTGTGGTAAATTAAAGGTAAACTAGCAACAACAAAAACCCTCAACACTACTCGCCACCACACACACACACACACACACACACACACACACACACACACACACACATCTCAGGAAAAGACAAAGCATGTCCATTTCCAGGCATAAGTACTATTTAGCTGGTTCTCTATACAAAACGTCTAGATTTCAACAACAACAACAAGGAGCAAAGAAAAAAACAAAACAAAACACAAAACTGCACTGTCAAGAGACAAAGCAATCAATAGAATGAGATTCGGATACAACCATCATGTTAGAACTATCAAACATGGAATTTATATGTTAAATGCTGTAATGAAATATGTAAATAACATGCATATACATATATGTAATTTAAGCAGAGGGATGGAAACAGTAAGAAATCAAATGGAAATGCTAGAAATAAAAATGTAGTAACAGAGATTAAAGTCTTCAACAACCTTATCAGTAGACCAAAACAATCATAGAATCAGCAAAGACATCAACAGAAACTATTCCAACAAAACACAACAAGAGAATGAAAAACAGAGAGCATCCAAGAGCTATGGGGCAATATAAAATACTCTAGCATATGTGTAACTGGAATTCCAGAAAGAAAGGTAAGACAGAAACAAAATATAAAGAGATAATAACCAAAATTTTTCAAAATTAATAAAGTATATCCAACAACTCCCAGAAGCTCACAGAACACTAACATGCATCAAATAAACAAACAACAAAAATCCACAATTAGACACATCATATTCAAAATGATGAGGGAAAAAAAAAATGATAAAGAGAAAACCTTGAAGCCTGCCACAGTTAAAAAAAAAATGGTACAACACAGTGGAACAGGATAAGACCTTTCAGAAACTATGCAAACCAGACACCATTAAAGTGCTGAAAGAAAAAACTGTCAATGCAGAAATCTATATCCACGAAAATATCTTTCAAATTGAAGAAGAAATAAAAAATGTTCAGGCAAAATGTAATTCACATAACAAAAGACTAACAAAAATAAAATACATGATTATCTCAAGAGATGTACTTAAAATATTTGACAAAATTCAACATCCATCCAGTAAACTAGGAATAGAACTTCCTCATCCTGATAAATGGCATCTACAAAAAAAAGCAAAGCAATAAAACCCACAGCTTGTATTATGCTTGATGAAAAACCAATGCTTTTCCCCATAAGATGCAAAAAACAAAGAAAAGACGATCACACTTGCCACTTCTATTTGACATTAAAATAGAGGTTTTAGCCGGTACAGCAAGGGAGAAAAAAAATGTAAAAGACATCCAGATTAGATGAAAGAAGTAATACTGTCTTTATCTGTAGACAACATAATCTTCTGCATAGAAATCTCATAGAATCTATAACAAAGCTACTGGAACTAAGTAAGTTTAGCAAGGTCATAAGGATACAAGCAGTTCTATATGCTATCAGTGAAAAAAAAAAACTGAAAATGGAGGAGTATCATTTACATTAGCACCCAAAAACATGAAATGCTTAGTCATAAATCTAACACAGTATGTGTAGAATCTATGCTGAAAACTAAAATACATTGATAAATGACATCAAAAATCTAAAGACAGGTCATAAATGAGATGCCTCAATATTTAAGATGTCAATTCTCCCCAAAATGATCTTCAGAATTAAATCAGAATCAATCCAGAAGGACTTCCTACAGAAAATGAGAAGGTAATTCTAAAATGGATAGGAAGAGGCATAGGAACTGGAATCGCCAAAATAACTCTGAAAAGGGACAAAGGTGGAGAACTCACACTACCTGACTTCAAGTTTACTATAAAGCTACAATAATCAGGCAAGTGTCATATTGGAGAAAGGGTAAATACATAGATGAATGAAATGCAGTACGAGTCCAGAAACAGACTCGCACTTATATGAACAATTGATTTTCAAGAAAGGTATAAAGGAAATTCTATGAAAGAGAGCTTTTCCAAAAAATGGTGCCGAAATAAGTGGAAATTCATTCGCAACAACAAAAACTGTATCCATAACTCATACCATATACAAAACCTAACAAAATGAATCACAGATCTAAATGTAAACCTACAATTTTAACACTTCTATAAGTAAATATGGAAAAAAATCTTTGTGATTTTTGGTTTTGCAAAGAATTTCTTAGACATAACATCAAAAGCATGATCCATAAAATAAAATAATGTAAAAATCAATAAGCTCAACTTCATCAACATTCAAACTTCTGCTCTTCAAAGACATGTAAGAGAATAAAAAACAAGCCATAAACTATGAGAAAATATTTGCAAATCACATCTATGATAAAGAACTTTCATCCAGAATCTCCAAACTCAGTGCCAAAAAAACAACAAAATAATTTGAAGAATATTTCACCAAAGATATAAGGATGGCAAAAAAGATGCTCAAAATCTTTTATCATTAAAGATATACAATTCCATTTACACAACATTCTGGAAAATACAAAACTATGGAGACAGAAAACATGCCACTGGTTGCCAAAAGCTTGGGATCAAGTAAGGGGCTGACTATAAAGTGACAAGGGAATTTTTTGTATTGATGGAACTGCTCTCTCTGCATTTTAATTGTGTGGGAGTTACACAAGTGTATGTTTGTCAAAATTCACAAAATGTACTCTATAAAGGTGAATTCTGCTACATATAATCTTAAGTTTTTTAATGAAAAAAATGACATATCTGGCCGGGCGCGGTGGCTCAAGCCTGTAATCCCAGCACTTTGGGAGGCCGAGGCGGGTGGATCCCGAGGTCAAGAGATCGAGACCATCCTGGTCAACATGGTGAAACCCCGTCTCTACTAAAAATACTAAACATTAGCTGGGCATGGTGGTGCGTGCCTATAATCCCAGCTACTCAGGAGGCTGAGGCAGGAGAATTGCCTGAACCCAGGAGGCGGAGGTTGCGGTGAGCCGAGATCGCGCCATTGCACTCCAGCCTGGGTAACATGAGTGAAACTCCGTCTCAAAAAAAAAAAAAAAGAGAGAAAAACGAAAAAAATGACATCTCTTTAAAATTCCTGCCAAAATATAGCTGACAGCACTGATTCTTTAATTTTTTAAATTTCTGATTCTTGGCTTTAAAATATACCTATCTAGTAGCCAGTGAATAATCAGTATAGTCTTGAAGTTATCTGTAAGACTGATGATTTGTTTCTTAAATCTTGAGGCTACAGTCTTTCCCAATTTAATTCTGCAGTTATTACTTAAGACTTCATTGACTTACTCAACTTTGCACAAGTTAACGATGAGAAACTCGGTCTCTTTTGACTGTCAGCTCTACCATCTCCTCCATATATGACCAAACTACACAATCCTTTGCAATGCACTCAGGCAGATATACAAAACTATATTTTTAATTTGAATGGTTTTATTCTGAACTATAGAAGAAAAGAGGGCTCTGAGAATTCCGAGGTGCTCTGGCAATTACAAATAACATTAGGTAAATCAATATGTAAGAATTTTTTCTAAAATGCATTTCTTCCCAAACTTTCTCACTCAAAAGCTTAGATTCCCCAGACCATACAATATATAAACTAAGCTTACCTTGCATTCAAGATTTTCCATGATTTGATGTCAATCTACTATTTCAATAATATTTCTATCATTCTAAGACACAAATTCTCCATTCTGGGAAGGATGGCCTCCTTGTCTGCTCCTTCCAACTTCTGAAATGCCCTCCTTGATAATGTCTAATGCCCTCCTTAAAAGAGTTATGTTAAAACTGAGATATCTCAGTGCCATTATATCACTGTCGTTATATATTACTTTATACTCTTATTCAAATGTTTCATTTATGAATGTCATCTCACACTCCGTAAGTTTCTTAAGGGCAGATAATCTCTTTCACACACTTATCCTGAGAATACAATCATATTCAGAGAAAAATTGATGTACGAATTGATTCTAAATTACTTTAAATCTTATAGTAATTTACAATTAATTCAATAACTTCCCAGAAGTTTATTTTGTACTTTGAGAAACTGAGGTAAGGGGCACTAGGCTTTGCTGCCTGAGATCGCAGCTTTATCACACTCATCTTCATATCTCCAGAGTTGAATACGGTGCCTGACACATGAAAAACATTAAAATATTTAAATATTTAACTAAATTTCACTTTCTAAGGCCATAAAGAGATGGAATCCTGAAGTTCTAGTCCAATTCTCCCAAGGTTAGTACTTTGAAATGTTCTCTAGTTTCTCATATTTGTTCACATATTCTCCCTGAATATACCACAAATATAGCAAACACAAAAGCTGTTCTAGCTCCTCTTTTTAAAGCTCAAAAAGCAACCATCACAGTATTGAGTGCATGCATAGTAGGTGGGCAATATTCCTATCAGAGTTCTTAAAAAGCAGCATACAGGCAGCTCACAGACACTTCTTCCCTGCCCCATGTAAAAACATGTTAGTTACTCTTCCTATTGGGAAGATTTATTTTTCATCATCTTTGGCACAAATTCTAGAATGCTATATGCCAGGTCCCATGCCCCAATAAATATGCATCCACAAGCAATTATGGAGATAGATAGCTTATGGGGAGGGGGCACTCTTTGGTCAGGTCCCAATGCTAACCTGTGGTTGGGGGGGAGAAAAGAGTAGGGGGAGGGGTGTGGTCCTGTGATTAATCACTGCCCACTCTGCTTAGGGGTATTTATCACAGCCCGCTGTCAGGTAAATCACTGGAAAAACACCTCTTCAGTAATTAATGTGAAGTGACGGATGGACAGCCCCTGGGCCCATTAATCAGGAACATCAGCAGCCTACTGAGATTATGAATGTCAGGATGCATAAACTGCCGGTGGATCAATAGGCCCAGGAATTCATCCAAGGCTCTCATTTCCGAAGCATCTCCGGTACATTAGGCTCCCTCTACCCCTCCCCCAATCTGAAGTGAAAAGCAAGGTTTCAGAACAAAGAGCAGGAGCTGAGGTCTAAAGTGACCACTGAGAGAAAGTAGTCAAGGAAGCTGGCCATGGCTAGGCATGGTACCAGGACAGGTAACATGAGCACAGAGCTATACTGACGAAGAGGCTCTCTCAGAAGGCTCAATGTTCCTGCAAAAGAACTAGAAAGACATGGTACACATCTAATTATTCAGAGCCTGACTGTCCATTTTAGAGATCATCAAGTTTCTTGCTTCAAATTTTTTACCCATTTCCCCATCTACATTTTCTTTCCTTTCATATTAACACCACCAAAGAATAGAGAGAAATAAGAGGAAAAAAATTCCGTTCTTGCAACCTAACACTCTAGGTAAAAATGTTGATTTAAGAGGCAAAACAAGGATTTATATAAAATAAAATCAGTGAATTATCTTTGCCTCCTCCCTAAGTACCACAATGATGCAATTACTAAAAGTAGCCAGAGTCTTAAACAAACAAACAAAAAAAGTCCCCACCGAAAGGGTCTGCTCCACTTGTAAAATAGTCTGGAGCTGGAAGACTATTTCTGTCTGCTTGTGATCCCAAGTTTAGTCAAATTTTGTATAGAAAGTAAGCCTGGGCTAGTCTCATATTGAATACATTCTAGGCTGGCAGTGACGGGAAGGAGGCTGCACTTGCTGCCACATCCCGCCAAACCCCAGTGCTGTGCTTTGTGGTCAGACTCAGTCCAGGGCTGCAATTGTTGGTTAGAAAGTATCTCAGAGTTACGGCTGCCTGTTCCGCTAAATCTCATTTCATCCTACTGATGGATGGATGGACAGATGGCTGCGTGGTGAAAGCAGCATTATCAGCCAGCTTCTATGGAGCCTCTGAATGATGGATAGCCCTCTTTCTACTTTCTCTAAACCACCATCGATCCAAGCCATATTTCAGCGGTCAGAAGCCCAGTAATATTAAGACACACAATCAAGTTAAGTTACTTGCAGTGTAAACCTCTAGAACAGAAATCCTAACACCTCTGCTTTGCTGTCATGAACCACTGCTAAAAATGTTACAGTTTCATTCTTTCTAGCTGCTAACCCAATGAATTCCAACAGCTCAAGCCCAAAGGGAACAGCTGGGCTCCATTCCTAGCAGCTACTTGAAAAGCTAGTTTGCCTGCCAAATTTTTTACTAGCCAGTTCATTTCTGTGAAATGAACTCTGCAGCAGTAGTGAGCAGATCTTTGAATATGTGTATATCCCGTGGAGTGTGAAGCTATTAGAACCATCAAACATCCTAGAGTTTGTCAGTGATATAATCACAAGCCTCAAACATGTGTAGGGCCTTAGACATACTGAACAGACCTTCTCTACCAACACCAAGGATAGTGATTAAAACCAGGACAGATTAAAATTATCTTTTGTACATAATCCTAAAATGCTATTCCTACCCAGTCAGCTTAACTGACTTCTACCCTCTTGTGTACATATCAAATATAATAGTAAGTGCTAATCTTTGCCTGCTTTCACAAGCACAATTCTGTGTCCATTTGCTCTATCACATTCTAGACACTCATCTCAGCTTGTCTGGGTATTTGGACTCCACGCCTTTCCTTGCTCCTTCCATGTTATCATCCTGAGCTCTCAGACAGCAACTTGGACTGGTATAATTGAATGCTGTGTCAAAGTTATTTCCACTGGTGTGGTTGGAAGAAATGGACTCTGACTCCAGCTTCATGACCACAGATTCCCAGAACCTACCTGCCCTCTTTTGCTTACTTATCCCCAAATGCCTTCTTCTCAAAATGTTTCACTATTAACTATACCCAAAATAAGCTTGGCCTGGCTCCTCCTAGCCTTGGCTTCTCTTGAATGAACCGCTGCCATCCTGAGCCTACATTCACAGAGAATCAAGTCCGTATTTGTTTATGAGGCTAACAAACGTCTCGGTGGAGTAGTAACTGTCTTTCTACTTGCTATTATGGCAGTTTACTTAATACTTTAATATTTATATCTTAACAACATCTACAGCTCTGTTTCTATCAAAAACGAATATGCTACTGCTTAAAGATACTACTTTATTAAAGTGTTCCACTAAGAATCCCACTGCCCTTCAAATAAACATTAAAGAATTTTTACAGAGTTTTAGAATTAAACTTACTGAAAGGGATTGTATAGGTCAGAATTCACATTCTAGTTTTTCAGAAAAAGACACCGAGAATCCAAGGTTGTAATTTATGTCCATGGTTACACAGATATTAAGTGGCAATGCAAGACTGGAACCTTGGTTACAGTTATAAGGGCTGTGCTCATTCTACTATATTTCTCAAATATTCTGTTTTTATCCTTGGAATTTCAGAGAGAATGACGGCAAGGAGGATTAAGTGTTGTGTGAGTGCCTATGTGTTCTGGGGAAGGAAGGTGGCCACAAATAATGAAGTTTGGCCACCTATACTATTGTGCTTTCCATCAAGGTTGCCCAAAGGTCATCTGAGAGTCATTCACTATCTTATAGAACAAAATTTGATGAATATCTGACAATTAGATACCTCTACTCCTTTCTTCTCCTTTCTTTAATATCTGCCCCAGTCCCATATAGAAAGTTTTGAAAAGAAAAAACCAGAAAGATGTTGAGTGCAAGTAGAGGCAGAGAGCAAGAGGCTTTATGACTTAACCTAAATGAGCAGAGGAGCAATGCGTCCTCTTCATTTCAAAGAATGCCACATTCTGATCAAATACAGAGCACAACTTCACTGACTGGACTTCACCCTCTAGTGGTCAAAATGTGTCACTGCTATATTTCCCAATTTCTAAGCTTACCTCCATAGGGATCTTCAAATCTTATAGCTGAAGCCAGGCACAGTGGCTGACGTAGGCAATCCCAGCACTTTGGGAGGCCAAGGTGTGAGTACTGCCTGAAGCTAGGAGTTCAAGACCAACCTGGGCAACATAGCAAGACCCTGTCACTAAAAAATTAAAATAAGATAAAAACTTAGCTGGGCATGATGGTGCATACCTGTAACCCTAGCTACTTGGAAGGCTGAGGCAGGAAGACTGCTTGAGCCCATGAGTTTGAGGCTGCAATAAACTATGATTATGCCACTGTACACCAGCCTGGGTAACAGAGCAAGACCCAGTCTCAAAACAAGCAAACAGAAAGCTTATAGCTGAAAAGAGCCTTCAAAAACCATTTGGTTGAGGGGTTTATCTAAGACTATTTGAGTGGTAACTAAGACCAGAACCCAAACTAGCAGTTTTACCACGATTATAGCTTTATTATCAGTTTTCCACCAAGTATACGCTCAGGATATATGCTGAGCAAAGTTTAATCAGGAAGTTAATTATGCCGAAGAAATAATCACATAATGCACATCAAATCCAAATATATTATCTACACTAATGCTCATTACCATTAAGGATAAATGATCAGGATGACTTTTCCATCCCATTCCCCAACAAAAATGTGTCTCATACACTGGACAAGACTTCTACTATGACTATTCTTGGCACCAGAGGAAAAAAAAAAAACTTCTAACAATTCCCCCTCACCCAAAAAAAGGTTGTGTTAGGTGAGTAATAAGGAATAACAATTCTTTAAACTGTTAGCTCTATATATTCCGTAAGCTCAAATAAAGGCTGATTTATTTACATTAAGCAAATATATTTTAGAATAACCAATTCTGTATACTCATTTGCAAAGCTATCTTAAGCCAAGACAAAGATTCTTACTTACCTTTCATTTTAAAAAGTCTTTTTAGAGTTTCTACTTAGTTAAGAAAGAACTATTAAACAATGCCCAAGAGAACAATGAGATATTTTTCAAAATCTGCTGCAATGAACCATGTCTAATTATGTTTTCTGTTTCATTACAATTTAGGCCCTACTAGCAAAAGTGAAGTAGTGGTGGAGTAGTGCCATCAGTAGTAGTAGAAGAAGAGAAAGAATAATAATCAGCTACCATTTACTGAGTGCTTACTGTGTGACAGGGATTGT